ATAAAATCCGAGAGGCCAGTAATCTTAAAATCCGTTACAGAGCCTGTGAAACTGTTCGAGTTAGAAATTTGAAATTAGTTTTGATAGATGAAACTGTTTTTAAATTCAAATTTTAGTTTACTCTATCAAATATTTATTATTGATTTCCTCCTCGACATGCGTGATTTGAAGAGGATCCAAAGCAGGTAATCCCAACTGCGGTATCGGATGGCACATGCGTACACGTAATTGTTCAAAAAAGTCCAAAACTACATTTTCGCCAACACTTTCCGCTGTCGGTGGCATTATAAAGCATATAGCCAATGCTAATACTGTAGCTTTATTCAAATAGACAGAGTAAAATTTGGAAGTCGCCATTTTACTTGACATTTATTAAATTGTTTTGCGATGGTTTTTATTTTTAACTTTTTACTACTGCGCCAATTTGGTAATTGTAATATGTAGTTATCTCCGGACAGTGAGCTGCCGGCCAACGTTCGCTGGTCATTAAAAATTTAAGCGTTTTGGCTTTATTTATGTATTGTACACACACTACGGTAACTATATACGTACGTATGTGCTTCGATGAAGAACCCTCTAGAACTTGAAGGGCAATCTCCCAATGCGAGGAATAAAAGAGTACTCTCCTTGATCTGATTTCGGAGCAATAAGAGAGATTTGTCGGGTTTGTACTCCTTTACCGATAGCTTAGGTGCCACATGGGAGATCTCCTAAGCGAGAAACTAAAGAATGTTCCCTGAGGCATGATTGGGACCAGAAAGTGATGTCTCCTTGATTGATAGGGGAGCAATACGCACATCGTTCAACAGATATATTGTGTTTTTGGAAAAAGTTATCATAAAAAAACAACAGAAAATAACGCGCTAATTTAATTTAGATAGCACACACATTTTAATAAAAGTTCGTCGGTATGTACTGCAACTTTTGTTTAAATTTATTAATTATTGTATTACTTACACTGAGGAGCAAAATCGGAACAGTAATACATAATGTGAATTTTCTCGCGATATATTCGCAATATATGAATACATACTTCTTTGTAATCCAGTTTCGGATTTCACATTTCCAATATTTATTTAATCAGAACGCCATAACAGCAATAATTAATATAAGCTGATAAAGAAGAAAATTGCAAAAAAACGTAGCAACTAGATTGTTCCAGTTTTGCACCCGATAGGAACATTTTACCATTTGCTTGACATTTCATAAATTGGCAATAACCTATTTGAATATTTTTTTGCTTTTATGGGCATCTTGGGATACTTTCGGACAGGTTTTAGACGAAATCTGTTGAGATTGCGCCCCGGTTTTCCTCAACGCCATGCCCAAGATCTTGCATGGGATTGGGTGAGTTTTCGCAATTGAACAGTGGAATTTTCAAACATAAGTTTTCTGTTGATTATAAAAGCTTGGAATTTATACATATTTCGCCCCAGTTTTTTTGTTCATTTATAGTCACTTTTCTTTTTACCATCGATTTTACCAGTTCTTACTCCCTAACGCGTAATACGGAGCTACATCATGAAATATATATATGCAAACCTAATAGTTTAAATATTTTGGGGCGTTAGACAGAATCCCTGATGCAGGTGCAGAGCACCTGAACCAATATTCCGACTGAAAACGTTTAATTTTATCCTCCGATTTACTTATTCTTTAGAACGTTCCTGATGATATACTAACGTATATTTCAAACGTATTCTATTTATTCCGGCTGTGAAATGGTATTATCCGGAATGTATAAAGAAACGCAGCCTAAATATTAGTGGGATAGTGTGGCCGTTTATGGGAACTTGTAATTTCTGACTAAAAATTTTTCTGGTTGCCAAATCAGGCTTTCTGCTCTTTATGTTGGTGCTGCTACAACTTGTTCCCATGTCTTCCTTAATGTCCAGTCTCTTTGTGGTGAAAAAGCAGTAATTTTTGATTTGGACCCTCCAATATGCCTAGCCGGCAAATTGCAATTTTTTGTTGTCTCTTGACCTTGCAGACTGACGTCCGCCCTTTTATCGCTTGTTTAGAAAACCATAAAAAGGACATTTGGGTGGTATGATTTATTTTTTTTATAGCGAGGACTTTCTGACCGTTTAATTTTTTTGGTTGGTATGTGCACTTAAAGTACTCACAGCGAAAATCCCACGCGCCTTGATTAAAAAATTGCAGGAAATGAGCTAAAACTCCTCTTTGAATTATAAAATTCGGCAATTACTAAGAGGTTGCAAAACTGGAACAATCCAATTCATTTTTATTTGATCATCTTTTTCTGAGTTTCCATATGAGAATCTTAAAATTTTTATTGTCAAATGTTTAGTTAAACATCGGTAAGGCGAAATGCAAATTTCAATTACCATAATGTAAATCAAGTGAAGAAGTACATTACCACAAATTTAACTTTCCGTTCTATTGTTCCAGTTTTGCACTTCAGTGTATATACCGTTAAATACTTTTCATGTGTGTGAACATTTATGTATGACCACAGGCTTAAACATTTCACATCATGCCCGTCCAGAGCTTTTACTGGGTAGTGTCAGATGGGCAAAGTCACCTTCACATTGATCGTGGTAAAAACTAGAAAATCTTATTCCATTTCCCCCGCTCGCGTGGACTCCTGAAGAGGCAAGCATCCCTGACACCCAGGAAGTCATGTACGAGGTCATACGTATATGTGTATTTAGGTTCATATATTTAAAATATGTTACAATAATGCATTCTGTAAACGAATATGTGAGTGGTTACCCCAAATTGGGAAACCGCTTTTCGAGAGTAACCGCTTACCTTTTCGTTTAGAGAATGCATTATTTTAACATGTGCGTGTCATTAGAGGTAATCGAATAAATGTAAAATTTCTTGCCTTTACATTACATGTAATGCAGTGGATAAGCGAAAACTGTCTTGAGGCGACTTGTATTGCCTTACTCCATTGATATAAAAATAAGTACTTCCTAAAGCAAGTAATTTTTAGCAAAAAAAGCCGACTTCAATTCTCATATAAATATATATATATATATATTTATTTATTTTTCATGATCCAATGATCGGATCTTAACCAGATTAGTATGGGATGACCTCTGAGACACTACCTCTCCGATGCAGGTTGACGTGGTGCAAAATTATGCGGTAACATACATAAAAATATATATATATTTCGACGAAGTGATAACCTCCTCCTTTTTTGGAAGTCGGTTAAAAAGTTAAGGGCCGGTTACTCAATGTCTGGTTAACACTAATATGTGGTTAGACATCGTTATCGACGTCTTTGACTCCATGCATACAACAGGGAGTCGGTAACGTCGATAACGATGTTTAACCTCTAGTTAGAATTAACCAGACATTGAGTACCCGGCCTTTAAAGTTTTTGCTGGGTGCGTCTGACTCGCGAGTCGGTTTGGATGTGTTAGTGAGAATAAATATGTGTTAGTTACGCCGACATGACTCTGAATGACGCTGAATGACGCTGAATGACTCAACTGTGTGTAGTTGAAACGCGAGTCAACACGTACACAGCAGACTCGCGAGTCAGACACACCGTCTATGGTGCCTATTACCGTTTTATTATTAGGCCTGTTCAGGATGTTGTAGAAATGGTCTTGGAATTTCATTTGCAATTTTTTTGCTTACTGCCATGGCAACCGTGTGCATTTTATTGTTGTAAATTTACAAATCCAACAAATTTGCGAACGCAAGAGCACATGCACAAGATCCTGAACAGCCCTATTGTTTTTTTTTTTACTTTCATATAAGTTCTCGGCAATATCTATAATTGTAATATTAAGCAATAAGGTATGAAGTATCATTTATGTTTTATCTGATCTCGTTCTTATATCTGTCGAGATCTTGTAATAATATTGTACACATGCAAGTGATTAAAAAGTTAAATTAAAAAAGTAAATTAATAGCAAAATCTGTTTAGGTATTGTAAAATGTTCGGTTTGGAGCTTTTCATTGCTCTCATAAATAATACTCGTGCAGGAGGCTTGCGGGATGCCTCTTATGGGAGCACTCCCTTATTGCTCCCTCGGGTGGCATGTGATTTGCGAGGTTTCTGGGAGGTTATTATGGGAGTACTCCCGTATTGCTTCCTTAGGAGATTTGTGGGATGATATTTCTGTGTGTGCTCACCGATTGCTCGTTTAGAAGATAAAAGGTATTACTTCCCCTTCTAGGTATTACTCCCCCTTCTAGGTATTACTCCCCCTTCTAGGACATACAATCTTAAAGGGATATACTCCCTATTAAATTACATGCTTATACACAGAAACATAGGCAGCAATGGGGGGTATTCGTATACTCCCAAGGGAGTACTCACCGAGCAATCGTACTATGCTCCCAAC